GGGGGTGGGGGGGATGTGGGACATGCAGGAGGGCTGTAGAGTTGGTGCTGGAGGGACGGGGATAGGTGGGATATACCCTGGGGTAGCTGAGTGTGAAGCGGGAAGGGCCTGCTGTGCCTGACAGATTCTCTGGGTGCCCGGGTCTGTGCTCCCTGGTACTGCACGGTGTCCCACAGTCCAGGAACACCCCCTCTCCCCATCTGTATACAGAGACTTCAATTTGCCCTCCAGGCACCCAGCTCTCCCTGGCCCATCACCCTTGGGCCTTCTTGCCTTCTAAGGCAATGGACCACTAAGGGAGCTCTTGGGAAACCTGTGAACCCTGCAGCCCCTGGAGGACAGAGGGGTTCTTGCTGGGACACAGAGCAACTGGGACCCTGCGTGGGGCTCACTAGGTTGGGAGAAAGGTAGGCTGATGCTGCTGTGATTCCCTGGTCCAGCCTGGGGGCACTCTCCAGCTCTAAGGCCAGCCTCCAGGCTAGTTCCCATTCCTGTGGTGACCCATCCTTTATCCCTTCTCCAAGATTTTCACCATGGTGGGATCGGGGGCGGTGGGTGCATCTTTTCTGGTCTCCAAATGCCAGCCTCGCCCTGACTGCTCCCAGCAACTTAAGGGGAGAGGGATTTGAGGCTACAGTCTACAGGCTAGAAAACGTGAAGAAGAGAAGTGGAGACACATGGTAGTGATTCCCACGTCCACCTGCCCTCCTGCTCTCTGTCTCTGTCCGGAGAAAAGCCAAGCCATCGACCTGTCGTTGATCTGTTCTGACTCACAGCGACCCCACGGGTGTCAGAGCGGAACTGGACTCCTGACGGTCCATTGGATTCCAGGCCTTTTCCCCCGAGTTGCCTCCGGGTGGGATGGACGCAGGTCAACTGTTTGTACCACCTAAAAGTCTTCTGTCCTCTTTACGACAGCTCACGATGACGGTGACTTGGTGGGGTGTCAGTGGAGGGGCAGCAGACCTCGCCAGGAGTCTGCAGGAAGAGGGAGTGCCTCTCTCCTTTGCCCACGAGTAGCCTCGTTGATGTCTCTCCTCAGAACAGAGGACCCATCACGTACACGTCACACGGGTTTAGTTTCTTTCTGTTTACGAAATCCATGCACCTCCACATGTGCCTCTGACTCAGGGCATTCACCCCCCTCGGCAGCCCGAGGTGCCGAGACAGAGACTTGGCTTTTTCAGAGCCACTTGAGTCTGTCAGCAGAGGAGCAGCATCCACAGCTGGTCCCTAGTCTAAGGCCCAACTGGACCCCAAACCTGACACTCTCACTTTCTGTCTAGGGCACATGCCCCACCAGCCACCGCCAACGGTGCAGCCCGGGCTGAAAGGGCTCTAGATCAGCCTCCGGCTGAGCAGGAAAGCTGGGAGATGCAGGAGGGGGCCCAAGCTGAACCCCAATTTTGTCTCTCACTTGGCCTTCATCTCCCCTCAGGCTGCCTCGTGGCAGCACCCCCTGACCGTGAGGACAGTACAGCCCTTCTCGGCGCGGGGAGAAGATGGCTATTCCACTCAAGTCCCTGGCCACTCGAGTCTGCTGGCACCTGGTGGTGTTCTGGGGAATGAAAGAATGTGTCCCACCGAAGCGTGTGTGTGTGTGTGTGTGTGTGTGTGTGTGTGTGTGTGTGTGTGTGTCTCCCATCCTTCCTTCTTTCTTCGGTCTTGCTTAGTTTCCTATTCCACCCCCTCTTCGTTGGAGTCTCACAGTGACTCCTTCTCCCATCACCTGGCAGGCCCTTAAGTCTCCTGGGCTGTGTGGGGCTTGTGAGACCAACTGGGTGTTCGGGGAGGGGCTCCCGTGTGCCCCTGTGTTTTAGAAACCGCCAGCCAAGAAGGAATTACTTCTCCCCATTTCCTTCCATCTCCTTCTCCCTTTGACTTCTTGGCGCCCCGTCCTTCTGGCTCTGCAGACAAGCACACTCACCACCACCTCAACCCCTGCACCACCATCTCCCCTTCACCAAGCTGCTGCCTCCCGTTTGTTCC